TTTTTTTTTTTTATCAGTTAAACGGTTGTGTCACTGGGGAGAGGGTCCATCAAGGTCCCCGAGCCACCCTTCTGGAGGAGACACCTGTGTGGTTTTGAAGGATTAGGATGCAAGGAGAGTCAGCTCATGGAGGAGGATCCTGTCGCGCTGCTTCCCCCTCCTCCCCATGGGACCAGAGTCCTCCCCGTCTCCCCTGCGTACAGCAGCCACAACCAGCCCCGAGCCCCACGACTCCCCCTCCCCCTGCAGAGCAGCAGGAACAGGAGGGCCGAGGAGGGCCCCCAACCCTCCTCACTTGGCAGAGGACTTGGCGTCGGTGCGACCCCAGAGGGTACCAGGAGCAGGTGCCAATCCCAGGAAAAGGGAGGGAGGGGCAGAGTGAAGTGGGCAGCAGGGCTGGGCTTCCCCCGGGCTTCACACGCAGGGACAGGGCGAGGACATGGGGTGGCTGGGCCGGCGGCCTGGAGCCAGGGCCCCCACCAGATATAAATTGTCCCCAGTTTCTGCTCATCAGACGGTATTTTACTCCCTCTTTTCTCTTCCTGCAAAAAGATCCCATTTTCCCCAAATAAAACGGTTTATTTAATTCAGAGGGGAAGAAAAGGAACAAACAAGCGCAAGCCAAGCCCAGCAGGTCCATCAGCCTTGGAGCCAGAGGTCTGCGCCATCCCCCCAGCTTTCCCGTCCTGGTCTCCACTGAGGCTCTTTGCCAGCTGTCCCCTCACTGCCCCAGGGACACCGTCAGCTCAGGGCGCTGTGTTGTAGACCTTGTAGTTGTCCGTCTGGGTGATGTGCAGCTTCCAGGGGAACAGGCGCTTCTGGGAGGGGAGGCCTCGAGCCTGCCGCACCATGACCCCCACGTCCTCATCTGAGAGCAGCCGGACCAGGTCCCCGTCAGTGTCCCGGTAGTTTAGGACGATGTCCTCCCGCTGGAACTCCCGCCTGCGTGGGAAAGGTCAGGGCTGATCAAAGGCCCGAGGGGAAAACCCCGGGCAGGGAGAGTGTTATGGCCTGGATTTAAGCGTCGGAAAAGGTCAGAGCAGAGCTTGACCCACTCTTACCACCCAAGTAGTCCCACCTTGCATTGTACAGATGGGGAAACTGAGGCCCACAGGAGAGAAGGGACTTTCACAGTAAATTAGCCTGGAACGTCTTGTGCATAAATGTGT